AGCTGAGTTTAGTGGTTGTCCTAGGTGAAGACAGTACATAGCTAGGTGGCAATGCATCTCTGCAAGAAGCCTTAAATAATTCTGGAGATTCTGTGAGCACGGTGTTTGGCCTACTTAAAATGACAAATTTCTGTGAATTATAACTTCTGTGTCTGCTTGTTTATAATTGATATAACTCAAATTCTGAAGCTAAGATTAATAAAAAATTGAGATACGCGGTGTACAAAAAATAAGCCCAAGTCAATCCATATGAGTAATCAAATCTCAAAAATATTTGTTAGAAGGTCAATTTTGGGATTATAAGGACCTTCCTTAAACGTAAGCAAATCTAAAGTAAGGATAAGCTAAGTAAATAGTTATGCTTTTTTTCAGAGGTTGTTATTCTTTTATTTATTTTTTCTGAATTTTAAAGAAAACCTGGGGAGAAACCTGGGATTGAGCTGTTGCTAGATAACCAATCTTCAAAGTGAAGTAGAACTGATTTCGTGATTGATAATTTGAGTTGAATTTGATCATGTATGATGTCAATGTACAAACTAAAAAAGGGGGAGGGGAAAGTCAACGATAATGAATAGAGGGTCATGGGCACAGCCAATAGGGGGGCTTGACTATGGGAGTAGGATGGGTGGGGCAGGGGAGAGCAACAGGGGAAAAAGTAGTACAACTGTAATTGAACAACAATAAAAACATAAAATTAAATAAAATACTTACCAACTTGAAGAGGAAAGGTGTGATTTTCCTGCTTTTTAGTCTCCAGGACGGATTCAATTGACTATTAGGATCAAGAAAACAGACCACTAGATTCTGCAGTCCCAGAGGATACACAGCATGTCTACATACTCAGCACTGTGTCTCCGGAAACTGACCAAGTTCATGGCACGTACTTGATGCCCAGGTGACAAGAAAAAAAGGGAGGAAGGAAGGGAGAAAAAAAGAAAGAAGGGAGGGAGGGTAGAAAGGAGGGAAAGAGGAAGGAAGGAAAAGAGGGAGGGAGGGAGGGAGGAAAACATGAGGAGGGAGGGAGGATGGGAGGAAGACGGACTTTAAACTAATTTATAGAAAATATTATTGAAAATATTGTTGTTAATAATCTGGTCTCTAATATAATCTTTGTCCAAATGAATGGCCTTTAAATTTCAATGTAAACATGTTCAGAAATTTCCACCTGTTTCAGAAAAGAACAAATTTAAAAAATTATTTCTCCGCTCCAAACTTTTTTTCTATTGTCTTTTAGAAAAAGCACTTTCCTCAAAAGCATCTATAGTCATGTATAATTTCTATGGCAGGGGGTGGGGGCATGCAAAATCACTGCAGTTAAACACAATGCTTTCTTCCTTTTAAAATTAGCTCTGAAATTGTAGCTCCTAATCAAAAACTGAAGGAATACACATGGATTATAGATGAGAGCTGAGGAGATAATAAATACAGCAGTTTGCAACTTAATGAATTTTTGATCTGGGCTGTAAGGAAGTTCTTATGAAGGCTTAAAAGCAAATTTGAGTTCCTCCATATTCCAGGCCAAATTCCATTATCTTGTCCCATTCATTCAACTATTTACGAACATTAGAGCATGCCCCAGATGCTCATCTGAAGATTTGTTTAAGGTTTTTACAGATAGTTTCTGTCTTCTAAGATAGGGGCTCTCTCTTTTCATGATTAGAGACTTTTAAGCAAAAAAGATAATAGGCAAAGTCTTTGAGTCCATTTTGCATTCATGAGATTTTTCAAGTCCTTTCAAAAGAAGCCCATCTTCTTCTCATCCCAGCATGACTCATGCTTTTCTGGGTTGTGGTCACAAACTCCAGCAAAAAAAAAAAAATCAAACTCTTCGCTTTAGATGTTTTACATTGCTACACCACTGCTGGAGATCTCTTTGAAAAGCTTGATCGGGACAGGACTTGTTTTACACAAAGTTTTTCTGTGAAAAGGCTGTGGGTGGAGGGGCATGAAGGTTAACACAGGAGCAGAGTTCAGGAACAGAGTTACCCTTCTTCTGCTGGTCTCTGGGCATTTCATCCGAGTTATTTATAAATAGATGCAATAGATGTCCTGCTGTTTTGAGTGATTGTCTAGTTTTAATTAGGTAAGGGCTATAAGCATTTTAATTAGATATCCAAATCCATCATCTGAGATTTTCCTCCCCTCAGAAAATAAACCTAATTTGATTTCTTCTTCATTAAATATAAAGGCAGTAAAATCTTATGAATAGATTTTTAGCTCAAGAGATTGAGATCTTTCAGATAGGACAGTAATATATGCACAGATTTTTTTTGTCCTAAATTTCTCTAAGCTAATGAACTGTATGAAAGTAATGAAGTTAAACCATAACGGGTTAAGGGTGGTGCAGTTTTCCAACGCAGAAAAGGAAAAGGGTTTCTAGATTAATGTTTGGTGACCTGAATTAGAGCCTCTTTTGCTCTTGCCTTTTAAACTCAGTATTTAAAAGGTGTAACTTTGTCCGCATGTGCATGTGAGTGCGTTTTATATGAGATGGAATGAGCAGTGCTGTCATGCCACTGCGATGTACATGACCCTCTGGTTTCTGTCACTGTGGGTGCAGTCAACAATGAAATTCAGGCATGAGAGCAGGAGAAAAGATCTTGTAAAGAGTGAGCACTGTCGACCCTGCCTTTTTCAGAATGTCTTTCACATATGCAAATCACACTGTTTTCCACATATTTTTAAACCAGTTTCCAAAGCGGTAGCCATGGGTGGTGAGAACCACGGTTATAAAGCCCAGCTCTTCTGCTCCTTGGCAGGGGCCTTAGCCAAGTTATTTAACCGGTTGAAAACTCCCCCCCTTTCATTTTACCCCACGATATGGACTCTATCTACTTGTGGTTGTTGGGAGAGTGGTAAAGAATATAAAGAGGCTTCTGGCATCAGACAAGTTCCTGTTAAATGGTCCTTATTACCATTTTATCATCTTTGCTTTTCAGTTATTATTTCCTCTCTGTCTTCTTTCCACTTGCTTTTATTTCCATTGGCTCAGCCCCCAATCTAGACAGCTCACACTTAATTAACAAGAGCGTTTTACTCTTTTCAACAGTAGTCACTGAAAATCAGGTTGAGGGGTCTGAGAGAGTCTGTTTTATTCTTCTACAATGTGGCTAATCAGAGAAGCTAACATAGAGTTAAAATTACAGTATAATCTTCAGTAATTTTTATACTAAACTATACAAATATATTTAAACTCCAGATTTATTGGTTAAGGCAAATACTTTGGCCCCATTTTTTGAAGAGCCCAATTAAACAATCTATATGTTGATCCATTATTTCATAAACTTTCTGGGATGTATCTTGAAAAAGTCAAGTGTTTTTATGTCAACATTTTCCCATTCTCTATGTGACTCTGTATGTTTGTACAATACCATCCTGAAGATAAGTGTATTTTCAAATGGCTATCTATTCAGGTAAAAGCAACTGTGGCCATACAAGACCGAGTGCAACCTAAATTAATTGAGATTTCATTTAGAGTGAGATTTTATTTAATTGAGAGTCTGAGATTTCAAACTCTTGAGGGTTTTGGGTTTTGTTTCATGTATGGCTAAAGTCTCTCTGTATGATGGTAAGCATATTGCAATGTTTAAATATATCAGATCAACATCTTGGATACCTTAAAACTTACAAAATGTTATGTGTCAGTAATATTTCTATAAGTAAATACAAACGTAAATATTTTAAAAATAAATAAAATGTCCCTGTATATTGGGAATGGAGAGAGATATGTTTGCAAGAGCCAAAGACAGTCTGGGCATTCTCCTAGAATAAATATTACAAATTTTATGACACTAATTTTAGAAGACATCTGTCCTATCTTTATGGCCCAATTCAAGGAACATCATTCTGAAACTACCCTTAATTAGTAGTGAAGAATTGATTGCTCTTTTATTCAGTTTCTTAAAGTATAATCTTCATATTTTGGTTATAATACTTATTCAATGCATGAATCTGTCTTACTTGAGTTAGTCTTCTGTGCATAACTGATCGTATTTTCATTTCCTTGTCCAGGAGGGCTCCCAGCCTAGAACAATCCCCCTGTGTATAGTGGTTTGCCTTGTTGACATAGTAGAGGTAGGTGTACTGTTACTCTTATAAATTGACAGGCAAACTGTCCTCAGAGGGCAATTCTGTAAGTACCCATTGTGGAAAGTTTTACAAAAAGTAAGAATTTGCCCAGGATTTTGTAGATTAGCATGAGTTATGGATTTAAGAATCATTTTACCAGGACAAATTTGTAAGCTAATTTTATTTACATAATTTCATATCCCTTAAACTTTTGCCTTCTTAAATAGTGCAATATATTATGCAAGCAGATAGAGGTATTTGGTTAAAATTCCTGAACAGATTTGATTTTTCTCTTAGTTGCAGCCTGGAATTTATAACAGAGGGGAAGAGTTTCCCTAAAGTCCTCCAGTCTTCCTGGAGCTGCTTGCACAGGTAAAACCACAGGCTGCTGCATTTTTCCACAAGCTCCCTTGAGTTGTAAAGAAGGTAAAACATATCTTATTTGGGGACTTTTTCATATTCTATGAAACTGTTCCTAAGAGTGCACAAGCCCTTCTTCGTACCTGAGACAATTAGATTTACTCAGAGAGGCCTGTGACTATACAAAATCAGGGTAAGATCTAATTAGACTATTGTGTATGTTAATATGTTTTGTCTGACTTAGATATTTGATGGAGACTTTTTTCTTTTTCTTTTTAAAGGATTCTGCAAGGATAAATGCATGCAATTAGCAGTGCGTAAATTTCCATAGGCTCCTGTAACTGGGTCCCAGTGCTCTGCACGTAGACAGCAGAATATTTATGAGCAGAATTTCATTTGTGCTCAATGTCAGACAAGCATTCATTTGTGTTGGCTCCTCCTCCTCCTTCCCTCCTGTATGCCTGTATATGGACGTGCATGTCTTGTGTGAAACATGAGAACATTATCTCCACTGTTCACCTAATTTTGTAAGAGATAGTAGCAGTCATAACATGTGGAGGTATTTTGGGATTCAGAAAGTGAACCAAGACAAATACTTCATGTAGTGCAGTATGTCCACACAGAGCTGAAAAACATATCTTTTGTGTTTCACAGAATCCCTAAAATTGAAGTAAACTTAAAACAGCCTACAAGGTCAGTAGAGAATATTTCTGTTTCTATCTTTTTGTGTGTGTATGGATTCACAGTTCACATAAAAGGCGATCATGTGTGCCCTGTAATAGCTTTATTATGTTATGCAACTTAAAGACTGATAAATTATGTACACAGGAAGATAATATAGGGGAAATTGCAAAGCACATTATTTTGGGGTAAACTGAGTGATAGGAAGATGTAAAGCTATGTTAAAGAGCTAGAGGATGAGTTATGAAAACCACTGGTGGGCAAAGTGGTGCTTTAGGGGGCTTTGAAGGTATAGAGGAGTTCTTCTTTGTCTATCATTTTATCATTTTTCAAAAAAATGTTTAAACTTTATATTTTTTATTGAATTCATGTATTTTTCACTCACTAACTCATATAATAAGTGTATAGTGTATCCTACCATGTCCCAGATGCAGGAGGTGCAAAGGTGAATAAAACTAATGTAATACTTCTTCTTACAGATTGTGCAGTCAGTAAAAGTACACGTGTATGTCTGTTTTTGCAATAATGGTAAGAGATATGGCCAGAAAAACAAAAGTAAAGGGTGATGTAAAAAAGTTTTTAAAAAATTCTAGCCAGGCCCAAGGAGGCAGGAAATCAAAGTGACAGTTAATCTGAGATTAGATGACTGGATGAGAATTGATCAGGTGAAGGGGGAGGAAGAATGCACGGATGTGGAGGATATAATGGATTGAGATCTTGGAGCAAGAAGGAAGTGGCCCATTAAAGGCACAAATTGAATTGAGAACCATATGTCTGGACTGTAGTAACAGCAGGTAAAAAGTTTGAGAGGAGATGGAGAGTTAACTATTAATGTGCCATGATGTCATTTTAAAATGGGAGAAGACAAAGTATGTACACGTTTTTGCATGTGTTCTGTTCTTTCTGAAGGATACATCATACATAACAATTAATCTTGTAAATTACTGGTTACCATTTTATTAAAAAATTTGCTGAACCCTCCAGGCATACTATATCTCTTCAAGTTTAGGGCTATCTTGATCATTACAAATTTTCCTACAGTCATTCATTTATTAACCAACTTGTCCAGACACCAGTTTGTTCTGGAGATGATGCTAGATGTTGATATAAAGAGATGGAGGATACATAGAACAGTGTTTTTGCCCTCAGGAAGGTTGTAATGTAGAGGGACAATGCCTATGTCAGTGTTCTGTGATATCGTTAAATGATCTTTCTACTTTAGAATATGTCTTGGTTTAGAGAACAATTGTGAAGAGAGTACAGAGAGTTCCTATATCTCACACTCAGTTCCCACTATTATTTACATATTACATGAATATAATAAATTTGGAACGATTAATGAACCAATATTAATGCATTGTTATTGTTACAGAACAGACACACCAGGGTTCATATACTACTGGAGGATGGTATACTAATACCATCTGGACCACATGCTGGGCTTGATTGTCCGCCGCCAATTGGAAAGACATCTCTCAATGCCAGAGATTTGTGGAAAGGAAAGGAATGTTCATTTAATGCCATACAGACCTAACGTAGTAACCTAACATCTTCATTAAAATATCCTCCACCTACACAAACAGTGATCCCTTCTCCCCCTGCCCTAATTCAGGGTACCATAACTCAGGACAAGAGCACACATCCGTGTTTCAGGCCGCTGGCACTGTCATCTGTCTCGCTGTCCAGGCAGGATCTCTAATTAATCCAAAGTCATGGATTAATGCCAGTAGACTGTGGCACCTTCTCACAGTCTACTGGCAAGAGTTCTTTGCACCCATTTTTTCTAGGCAAAGTCTCTCCTGCTTCCCAGGCCATGTGGCCAAAGGGAGCACCCCAAAGCCCCATGGGCCTCTTCTACCAAAGCTGCAGGGGTCTGTACTCTGCCAAAAGCATGTGGCTCTCTTTTTCTCCTGGATTCAGTGTTCCCTACTCCAGCAAAGCCATGTGGTTCTCTTCTTCAACTAGCCAAGAAAGGGTCCTCACTCTGCCAAAACCACGTGGCTCTTCCTTGATGGCTGCTCTGACAGTGTTTAAATACCCATGCCAGTGTTCCTCTGTACCCACACTTCCAACTCCTCCCACAATCAGTTACACCTGCCAGCATTCCTGTATTATTCCAAGTTTACTGGGCTGCCATCGTGAGTCTGCGCAGATGTGTCCCCTTGTCCTGGAGCCAATCTTCTCCAAGCTCCCATGCAGGTGCTGTAACTTGGGGGACCTGCCCCCTAGTTACATCTTGGGGGGAAGTGACTTCCATCCCCCTGGCTCCAAGCCTGGCCACAGCCATTTAACATATCTAAGAGATCTGCCAAAGGCTGTAGATGTGTTCAATAACCATGCCGTGGATTAGCTGCAAGGCTGTGGCTGTACAAAACAGCCCTGCATGTTCCTGCTCCGTGTGTCCCTTCCCCCAACTCACACCTGTGGGGGAAGGAATGAGGACATCTTATATGTCTCTCCAGTATTTCCTAGACACCTTGAGTTCTGGACCCCATTCCAAATCCCTTTTTGGGGCCTCCCTCTTGGCCGCACCCTGTATCATTATGAACTGAAGTTCACACTCACATAGCACATGTCCTTTGTTTTTACCCAGTGTCTTTTCTTTCTGCTTCAGGATCCCATCCAGGAAACCACACTCCATTTAGTCCTGTTTCCTGAGGCTCCTTTGGCAGCAAAAGTTTCTCATTCCCTATTTTTGATGAGTTTAAATTTTTGAGGTGGTCTACTCAGGTATTTTGTAAAATTTCCATCAGTTCAGATTTGCCAAATGCTTCTCTCTTGATGAGGCTGAAGTTACAGGTTTTAGGAGGAAAGTCCCAGAGGGGAATTCTTTGTATCACATCATATCTAGGATGCTCGCTGTCCTTGTGATTTCATTGTTGATGTTGGCAAGGAGCACCAGGCTGATGCAGTATTTATCAGGTTTCTCCATTTAATATTATTCTTTCTTCTACACTGTACTTTTTGGAAGGAAGTGGCTAAGCACAGACCACACTTAAGTACTAACTACTTATGCTCTGCCCTCTTGGAGATGTATCTTCATAAGTTGTTTGGAATTCATATGCATGGGGAATTCATCTTTCCTTCCTTATTCATTCATTCATTCATTCATTCACTCATTCATTTGTTTAATCATTTTTATCTCAGTATAGATTCATGGCTACTTATTTCATACCTCCAGTCCTAATCCAGTACTACTTTAGCTATTTTGTCCCACAAGTTGTTACAACTTTGCTGACTGGAAGCTTTTCACTCTGTCTCCAGTGCCATTGAACTTGGTAGCCCCAGACCCTCATCACTTCTACACTTCTTGCCCCTATCACTTTCTTGTTTTAAAAGATGATTCAGACTCATCTTGTGTATTTTCTGCCTCAGTACTAGAATAAGTCCTTTCCCAAGAATAATGTTGTTGTTGTTTTGTTACATATATGTTCTTAAATACTTTGGACTAGTTCAGTTGAAGTGTTATCATTTGTGTTCATCTTTGTATGTCTTGGACTCACTCATGTTTAGTCCCATTTTGACTCATATATTTGTTTCCAAAAATGAGTTACTTTTGCAAATTTTTCATCGCAGAGGTAACTATGTAGTCATTTTATCTTCTGTTTCTCTAACACTACTTTTTATTGATTCCTATTATTTCATGGGCATTATGATAAAAGGTTTTTTTTTAATCAGTTATGTCCTTAAACTCTCCACCTCCTGTTAATTTGGTGTTATTTATCAACTTTTTCTAAGTGAGGAAAATAAGGCACAAGGAGATTAGGGAACTAAACCAAAGTCCCTCAACTAGAAAGTGGTCAACAGACTTGAGTGATGGACTTGATCCAAAGCCCAAAGCAGACTCAGTCTTGACAAATGACATGTCTCCTTAAGCTTTGTGTCTGGTTTCCTTCACTACCCATGGGTATTTCTGGTAAATGTGGTTGATTCTTGATTCCCACAAATTGCAAATTTTTACCTTCCAGTTGTAGAGATTCACCCTGCTCTTTCCCTCTCCTACCTTTGGTGGCTGTTTCCACTGTAAATTGCTCAGCTGACTTTCCTCCTGGTGGAAGGCAGACCCCTCGGGTCTTACCTTATTAACCCCCAACTATGAACTCTTGAATATGGGCAAACAGACCATTTTCCTTTGAAGAGTCCAGTGGATATATTCCACATGAGAAAAATATAAGTAATAACAAAATTAACAGAATTTTGTCAAATTAATGAAGTTTAAAAGTTTGTAAAATACTGATCCCCTTACAGAGGGAACTTGAATCCAAGATTGGGCTTTGAAATCCAATCTCCCTTTTCCACCATCACCTAGGCAAAGTCAACAGTATTCTTTCCTCCTTGCTTATGCCCACTCGTCACTGTAAAGGCCAGACAATCTTTCTCCTGTTTTAAACCAATAGCTAGAATCTGCAAGTCCTCTAGGTGAGCCAGCACTCAATTTACTAGGCCTCTGCCCTGATTCAAAATAATTTCCTTGGAAATTTCCTCATCCGTCCCCATTTGAGAAACAGGAGTTCTTATATTTCCAGTCAACTTCTATACTAAAAACTCCTATCCTTTGGACTTTCGAAGTGCTCTACCTTAGAATGCATGGCATTTCCTGAAGGAATTTATCTTCCCTTCTTCATGTAGCTAATTAGGTTAAGCAACCAGACATCGTTTTACTGTGCCTTTTGTCCAGCATCCTTCAAAGTATCGTAACACTGCTGTAGATCTGGCTGGTTGTTGGAGACCCGGCATGCTTAAGGTATTTCGGGAATGTAGCATTTGGGGGATTTCCAACTGATAAAGTAGCTAATAGCAAAATTCATTTTGTATATATTTTCCCTTATGAAACCTATTCAGCTTTTAATTTTGATTCCAAGTTTTTTTCTTAGCTCACTCAAGATTGGAATTTAATAATAATTAAAAAAAAAACATTCTCCTAACTCTATTCATGGAGCAAAGGATTGTTTTGATTTATTATATTAGACATACCCTGAAGGGCTAAACAAGTTCAGGAAATGCATTTAAAC